TCGGTGGAGCCAGGCTCCCCTCCCTCCCTCCCTGGTGCTGCCGCCGTGCTCAGCGCCTGACCGGAATATCAAGCAGCGGCATTGCCTGGCTGGCGGATGGAAGCGCCGGGGATCCAGAGGAGCGGAGCTCACCGCCTCGGCGCCTGCCCTCATTTCTTGGCTGAGGACGGGCTGGGGAGAGGAAGGAGCCAACGCTCCGACCCGTGGCGTCCCCAAAGCAGGGAGTGCGGGCAGAGGGGATGGACAGGGCGTGGGGAATAGGAGACAGGAGGAAAGAATACCAACGTGTATCGGTGTGCAGATCTGAGTCTGCTTCCGAATCCTCCCTGGCTGGCAAAACTCGGCTGCTGCAGAAGCGGTGGTAACCCAAACTCATCCATCCTGCTTCTGTCACCCGCTTGTTCCCCCCTCTACTCCATCCTGGGGTTGGACAGATAAAGAGATAAGCAGGAGAAAAATAACACCAGGAGAGATAAAGAGATAAGCAAGAGGAAAATAAAACGGGGGGAGATAAACCACGCTGGCTGTTTATATTCCCTGTCTAATCTATCAATCCATCAGGCTGGCTATTGCGGTTATAACATCCCTCAATCTGTCACCTGGACTTCTCCTCTCCATCCATTTGCCCACGTCTCCTCCCTTGTCTCCAAGTCCTAAAAGGGGGAGTGGAACTAAATCAGGCAATTAAACACATCGAGAGGAAACGAAAAGCCAAAGCTGGAGGAGGAGGGGAGGCTGTCAGACATCTGCCCAGGGATGAGGAGGGTCTAGGCAGGAGGCTTCCCACCTATAAAGACCATTTGGCTTCTGCTACACATCTTTCCGGGCTGTCACATCACTTCTTCTCCCCATCAACATGTAGGCCATGCGTTGGGCCAATGTTCCTCAGCTCCATCCTCTCCCCACACCAGACAGAGTATTTCCTACCATGCTTTTCGGCGCCCTTAACCACTCACACATCCGAAAGCCACCCCAAACATGAATGCAAAAGCCATTGGGATGTCTGGCAACATCTCAAGGAGTCTCTGGCCAAGACGTGATGGAGGAGCTTCCAATCAGCTGGGGACTGACCCCGGACTTTTCCACCTCAGTGCTGGCTCCAGAGGCAGCAGATGATGCCCTGAGAGTAACGGTCCCATGTACAGGGACGGGGGTGGATGAAGGCTGTTTACTTTCAATTTAACACAAAAAAAAAGGCAAAAAGGGGCAGGCAGCTGGAGAGATGCACCATCAACTCACTGCAGTCTTGATGGTTGCCTCCCAGGCCGGCACACCAAGCAGCTCCGGAAGCCTCCCCTCCCCTCAGCCCCCCAGCAAGATTTCATCATGCATTGCCCAAAAGCTCTGTATTTGGGCCAAATTGCTGATTCCCGCCAGGAACGAGGCCATG